CAGAATAATCAAATACTGAGTTTTGGAACTAGGATTGGAATATTTCTGATATTAGAGTCATCAGAAATATTAGCGGTAGAACCGGTCAGATATACCGGGACTCCCGCATGTGAGAGAAACACTCAAGTAAATCCTGAGTCTAGTTAAACACAAATAAAGACTCAGTTCGGTTCTCTCAGACTAGGGACTTTTCTTAGCTGAGATAGCCGTACTTGAGAAGAGGTCTATTGTATCCTATTGTCTCGTCCTTTCAGCTACTCTCCATACTCTACATATGTATACATACCCGTATACATCGTTTGTACTCGTACTTCGTATTGGAGCCTGCACACCAGCATCGTATAGTATATTTAAGTTATACAAATCTAACACAGCGTATAGGATCTGAGATTTGGTGAGTAATGGAGTACGTAGCCCAGTCATCACTTTTACCGCCTTTTTTTATGTGCAGACGAAGCGCCTTTCTGACTGTCTGCTGGAGACTGCATTTACCAGATTCTATTAATTTACGCTCTTCGATATAGAAACCAGGTTGATCCCACCAATCATATGCACTCCATATTGCTCTGCCTTATGCCGCATATCCACCGGTGTAACTAATGACCCCACCCAACTTGTATTTTGCTGCTCCAAGAAAGTTCGGAGAACATCTGGTATTATATCTCAAGCAAGTACGAGATGATCTAGTCGTATTGAAAAGCACACAGTATTTGTACATACTTGCATTTAACGTATACGGACACTCGCATCGCTATATAAGTCGATATTCCATTCTAAATCGAATGCATACACAGGCTTCATATTAAGTGGTGTGCCAATTTCTTAATTGATCAGAATCTTTAGACCGTTCTCGAGCTCAGCCTTAGTAGCGATAAGTATTGTTGTGTAATGCGTCATCGTCAGGAATCACGATCGGGGGTTCATCCATGTTGCATAACTTTAGATCAGTCCTTTTTGCCATATCCTCGTCAGCTATATTTTCGCTAAAAAATAATCCACCCGAGTTGACTACCGGCTAAGCAGTATTTTGTAGGCAGTTGAGGATGATTTCAATGGCCTATTATCTTCTATTTGACGTTGTGAAGTCCGGAATGTCACTATAGTCAAAGTCTTAGTTTACATTTCTTCAAAAGTACCATTCCCATGGCTCGTTTTAGAGAACATCGCGCCAACCTGAACGAGCACTGTGCACTCTTTCCTTTCTTTTTATCTTTTTCATAAGTGACTATTTTAAAAGGGCTCTGAGGTCATGTGCGGCCTTATATCATAATTAGAACACCAAATTTTCTAAATATACATTGAAAATGTGGAGGGGGCACTAAATGTACATTCACTCAATTATTCCGATGAACATGTACTGAAATATTGATCAAATATGTAAAAATACACAATTAGCTATGTTGCCTTTATTATTATTAATGATACTGATGTATGCTACTTCACAATTCAAGCTTATCTCACTGTCTGGTGCACAACTCCCGTGGTATGTGATGCTCTTTTGCAAGAACTTACAATAATTGTGTTTCTGAAATTCATTTATAAATTCTGTTGTCATGTTGTACACTTGTGACATAGTCGTGCGAACACAATGCCTCCAAATCTATACACGAGTTATGGATTTTCTGATGCTGCTTTACCATAAGCAGAAAGGACAATTCCGCAGCTAAACCTATCTTGTTGGCTGACACCGCCTACTATAAGGCTGTATGTAACATTGTCTGTATCTCAAGTATATAAAACACACCTTGTTGCGCAGTCATCGTCGTTTTTTCGTCACTAATTGTTGTTTTCATTTGTCTGGATGTGAATTCCTTGTCTGTACTGATGGAGTAAAAACCTGTCCTCAAGTAATATATATCCTTGTCAGCAAGCACAAGTTTTATGACCTTGAATGTCCATATAGTCTTTTTATTAACTCAATTATCAGAAATATGCAGCCTGAAGAACATACTTTCACTGGTTTCCGTGTCCATATCTCACTGGCAAATTTTCCATCTGTATATGTGTCGGATTGTCATTATCGTCTGGAACAGACAGGGCAAATTAAACTGTGGCAGTCAGACTTAGGGTTTAGGGTTTTATGAGATGCAGGGTATTTTTTTTTTACACCAATTCGATGCGGCACACTGGATGCTCTATAGAAAATTCAACTTACAAACAAAATACCACTGAAGTGGTTTAATCTCATACATACCGGCAAGATCAGGCGAGTCAAATGAGATTTGAACATCCCTCTTTTTATCATATTGCTTGATAATTTGGCGTAGATAAGGTCCTGTTTGATATTCTCCCGAATCAATGGCATTTTCCCATTGCGGCATCAGCATTTCGATTAAATGTGTCTTTCCTTTTCCCTGTAAACGATTATTCGAAAAGAATCCCAACTCCTTTATCAGCATCGATACAAATTTTTAATAGAACCGAATAGACATACATGGACGTTGACGAATTGTTATCTCTCGTGGGGACGAATCGTTAACGGTGTCGTTGTTAGTGCCCGCTGAGCGCATCTTCATTGGCGATGTTTTGTCTGTGCTACTATCACAGATAATGTTCCATACCTTGGACTCGTGATCTATTCGCTTTCGCATACTTCGGAAATCCTGTAGTTGATGCGAATTGTCGTTGTAAGAGAGAAAAGAAAAGTTAATCGAGAAAACCACAGCATGTTGTAGAGACTAAAAAACATGCGCGTAATCGAATAAATGAATAAATTACATACTCGCCATCGCAGATGTAGATGTAATGATCAGCTTCTGCACACTTCGAGCACACTATAGTCTTCTTGAGTATATGATCCTTGATACAATGATAGTGGAATGGGTGTTCTATATCTTGGTCTTAGAAAGAGCACAGTATTTTGTCATTAAAACACATCAACACATAATTACATACCTACAAGATTATTTTTCGTACCCTTTCTTCGGGCGACCCGCCGGTCTCGGCGTAGGACTGGGAAGCAGTATATGCTGCTCCATATTTTCAAAGTCAAACGACATCGATTATCCCGTGAAACTGGTTTGCAAGATGCAAGTTTCCAACCAAAACAATCGCGGATACTAGCATTTGCGATATATGCTTTAGCAATGTGCATGAGACACCTGGCAACATGCTCGCAAGGGAAACCTTCAGACACATGCAAATTACAGTCTCACAATTTATGATTTCCCGAGAGCGTGCCAGTTTGGCTGAGCAGGTCTGGACCGTTGAGCTGTGTGATTCGAAGTATACCTGGCAATCGAACCTATCTCCGTTTACAGCATTGCAAACGATAGGCACTGTACATGGATTATCGAGGTGGAATATACTCTTTTCTACTGCCGAGGGTGTACCCTAGAGAAATTAAATTAGTAAATGCGGTTTTATACAAATAGTATAGCATGAACAGAAATGACAGCCTTGTCTACCAATCATATTCAATATGCAATAAATGCGCAATTGAAGCAAGCTTGCATATTTGATATCATTATTGCACACCTGCTTCCTTCCAAACTTAAGTTGCCTAGCTTCTTCCTGATAGTCTTTCCTTTTATTCACATGCCAATTCGAATAATTATAAGCATATCGATTAAATTGGCAATTCTCATGTCCAGGTGCACAAAATTTGGTCCTTAATTTACGAGGTGTACAGACATATCTGGGAAACATCTATCTGAAAGCTCTTTGAACCTGTTACAGTACGAACCCTTTTTTTTGCTAGCTCTCGAGATAGCTAACCACTCAAGATGGGCAATAGCATTGTATGTGGTGAGAAATTTCAGTACACCACCAGAGAAGTAATTAAAAAACATACCGGTAAATGAGTATGTACATTTAGTGACCTCCCCATGTAGGCCATGTGTATTTCGAGTATTTTCTCTAAATAGAAGATATATATGCTATGAGAATATAGTTATAGTTCTCAAGCGCTGGACCACATTGTTCTAGGATTATTAATTTGGTGACTCTCTATGAAAAATTATTGTGAATCCTCTTATAAAACGGGTCGTTTTCTATGCTTTCGTTAACTTAAAAGTCATTAAAAGTATATCAGAATTGTCTGCCAACTTTTTTGATTGTACGTTCATTTTATTTTATTTTATTGTGAAGCTGGCAACAGACTTAGTCGATAAACGATCTACTGGTGAACACCCCGAGTCTCTAGCTTCTGTCTCGGCTGTCTACAGCGTTGTCTACATATATACTTATACTTGCTCTGGCCCTGCCGGGCTCCTAGCTGGCTGCTTCACATGATCTCGTCGTCCACTCTTTCGGTATTTTTGCTGATGGACAACTACCAAATAGTACGTACTTCCTTCAATGGACAACTAGCCAGAAAATGCCACCTCCTCTGAAAATGCCAGCTCCTCTATTTTACGGTTCATCTCCTCAGCACTAGGTGTTCATCGTTTTCTCTGCCACATGGTTCCCTGATATAGTTCGGTACCTAGTACTGAACAGTATCTCTGTGGCAGTTATATGTATATCATGTCATCAATTAAACATGTTCTGCACTATTAGTCGTATCTTTATTAGACCATAGTTTATAGTACAGTCATCAGTTCACACAATTTTGTTTTGAGTTTGCATTGTACTGTAGATTTGGTTCTAAAAAGACAAAGGCAGGGGAATTCAGGATTCTATATTTTTTTTATAAGGTTCCCAGGGAACTCTCAACAGTCACTTTCATCATGGTCAACCCAAAAATGAAGAAGCGCCTAGCTGAAAGACTGTAGAAGTGGCCTGTGAAGCGCGTTCGATTGCAAAGCCTAAACAACTTAAAGTTTGTATAAAAAGCAAAAGAAAGAGATAAGAAAGTGGAGGAAGCCATCTCCCTAAGATCATTTAAACTGAGGGACCACATATCTCAGGCCAGATTGTACAGCAAGAAACCCTCTTATATGATTTATAGTAGTCATCCGAGTTAGCTCACTCCCGAAAGCTATTCAAGTTGCGTAAACTACTCCCGCGAGTTGATTTATTACTCAACCGACTCCCGAGAGTGGATTAACTCTGCTAACTTGAACTGCTTTGCGGAGTTTGTGGAGTGCTCTTATGTCAATGGGATCGTCCGCTGCTCGTGCAAATAACTTGTCTACTAGTATATCTACGATGTAGAAGTTGCCCTCATAGATGGCCTTGTCCATGACTATGTTGTATTTGTTCATCGCTGGATTCAATGGAGCTCTCGCTGGTGTGCGCTCATCGTCCATGCGCATCCCCCCTTCTCCATTGTGTGGAGTGGGGGTGCGAGAAGACATTTATGAGACAGGCATTGTGTCTACTTGTACTGGCCGTGTTCTGGCAGTGCGGCCCCTGCTCCCGCGTGTGTGTGTACGACTTAAGCTCACTTGTGTGCGTAGACTCCTGCGTGCTGCTCTTGTTCTTTGGTATGGCGCAGACGTCATTGACTGTTATTTGTGTTGAACGTTTATTGTCGTGTCAGATTGTGTATACGCTTGTTGTACATGTAGTATGTTTCATAGCGCTATGCTCTAACTTAAGTATAATGTCTCTTAAATTCGCCCGATTATATAGCAGAGAATTGGTTGATTACCTTAGTGGTGGTCTCTTTGTGTTGTGTTGTGTACAACTTTGGGTTATCTGTGACACCTGGGATTATGTTAAGAGTTTTTGGTTTTAGTGGAGAAACTTTGGTTTATCTTGGTTTTTCTGTGGACTCGCCATAAACTTGGTTTCTTGGGTAAACCCAGTTCCTGTGTGGAGAGTTTATGGTTTATGATTTTAGATATTACTATCCTTTTAGTTTTTCTTGTTTCTGTCTCGTGGTGATGTACCTAAGTTTTAACATCGTGTAATGTGCCGTGTCTTAAAAGTCGTTGTTGTTTAGTACCGAACTGTATCTATCAGATCCTTTGATATATGTGGTGTGCATACATAAATTGTGCTGATTTGACTATTGTCTATTCGGACTTGTACACTTGATATAGTTTTATGTCGCAATGTGGTCTTACTACATTGTATTTTTATCTTGTTTCGCATTCGATTGCCGCAGCTGTACTTTTAGTATTGTAGTCAGGGTCTCTGTTGTATTGTTTGTTCAGGTTTTGGTGTACTTGTGAGTGCCGAGATGCTCGCAACTATTGTTGTCTTTGAAGTTCTCATCGTACTTATACCGTGGTCAATTTAACTGCATTCCTCTTGAGATTTAAGATGTTGTTCAGGTTTTTAGACTGCTGTGCTTATACACGTGTATATGTTGTTTATACGTTGTGCGTATAAATCGTGTGTATGGTGTTTATGTTTTGGTCAAACACTTTGAACATCAAATGAGTTGAATTCTTCTTGAGATTCGAGATGTCATTCCATTTGCTAGACTGCTGTGCTTATATGTATATGTATGATGTTTATCTTTTGTTCCTATATGTGTATATGGAGTTTATACTGGTTTATTTATGTGTATATGGTGTTTATACTTGGGTTATTTGTTTTGAGTGTCGCAACTTAATATGCTCGTCTATTTATGGATGTGTGTTTCCGGACTTGTGTTCTTGTGTCCTCGGATTGAGGCTGGGAGAATGTGATCGAGCGTCTGTTTGTAATGTGGAGTTCATTATTTGAGACGTATCGTTCTTTGAGCTTGTACTTTGTATTTTACGTTGACAGTTTGTCCTACTTCTTGAATTTACAGATTGATGTGCATACTATTCTCAATTTTAGCCTAGTGTATTTTCTGATCGAAGGGTAAGTTGTACACTATTGGGGTTTATTCTTATTTTGAAGTCTTTAACAGTGTTTGTGCCTTGGGTCCCTTGTAATAGAGCTTATAGTGGTCGTGTGCGTGTAACCATTGGCATGTTCTTGCATCCTAGTCTCTATTCATGACTTCTTTTCATAGTGTGGTTGCTGGACCTCAGTAATATGCTAACTTGTTTTGTAAGTTATTTTTATATTAGTTATGGGTCTTGCTTTTAGACTCAGTTTGTCCCGTGATTTCTTATATTATTATGATCTCAAGGCTCTTTGTCTGTAACTCAGAATTGCATGCTTAAGGATTATGGGTTTTCCGGTGATGTACATGTCTTTTTGCAGGTTTGTAACTGTTTTGTGTGCTACTATTCTTCTTTTGCTCTTGTATGTACCTCAACTTGTTTTATTCTGCAGGTTATTTTGTATACTCTGAACTTTGATTTGACTAATGTTTGTCACTATGAGATTCTCACGATTTTGTCTCGTTCTTATCGATGTGCAAGCTTGGCAATTTTGTTTAGTTATGTGTGGTTATCTTATTATTTGTTTATGCAAGTATAATGTCTTACAGTTTTATCTTGCAGCTTGTTATTGCTCTCGCTTGTTTGGTGCGTGTTCTTGGTGTGACAAGTATGTGATTTCTAATCTGATTGCTCTTGTGTACTGTGATTTTGTTAGTCACTTGATATTGAAGCGTTTGGCTAACCCTTTTTTTAATTTTATTTTTAAAGCTTATTACATTGATTTTGTATCTTAGGAATGTTTGACATTGACTGTGCGTCTTAAGCAATGTTGGATCGATTTACATCCTCTTATATGTCTTATTGATTATACACTATTTGAAGGTGACACACTTGTTTTACAAAATTTTGCTTTTCAACATTGATAAATCAATCACTATGACACTTTTTTACACGGGGAAACCTTTTCTCACTTCTGGTTCACGTTCAACCGTAGTTACCTTACTTGCTGACTTCAAGATTCCTCTGTTCAGTACTTCCGGGGTTCTCTTCTTTGTTCTTTCCACTTTTGGGTTGGAACCTCCTCGGTGATCCTTAATTCTGTTGTACTTGATTTCCGGCTTCTTCTCCTCTGAAGTGTCTCTTTTCGGTTCCCGAACAGTGGTTTGACCTTTCTATTAGAACGCTGCTTCCAATAAAGTTTGTTTTGTTTTAAAGCAACTTATTTTAATTGTGTTATTTAGGAGTGGGCTATCCCGTTATTCTTTGTTGCCTGACCTACCGTGGTAAGGATATTGTTAAAAAAGCAGAGTTTGAGAGTAGCTAATAAGATACGACCAGAAGAAACAATAGTCCTCTTCTCAAGTGCGAATCCTACAGCCAGGTAAAAATCCCAGGCTGCAGGACTCTCATTGAGTCTTTATTTGTGTTTAGTATTTCCTACACTAGACTCAATATTTACTTAAGTGTTTCTCTCATACGCGGGGGTCCAGGTATTATCTACCGGTAATCCCGCTTCTATTTCTGATCACTCTACCATCAGAAATATTGGATCCTAGATCCAAAACTCAGTATTTGATAATCCTGGGGTTTGGGCTTAGGATTGGCTTTTCTGATAATTTGGTCCCCGGATGCTACACAGCAAGAAACGCTCTTAAATGATTTATAGCAGTCATCAGAGTTAGCTCACTCCCGAAAGCTAATCAAGTTGCGTAAACTACTCCCGAGATTCGAGTTTTTACTCAACCGACTTCTGATAGCAGATTAAGTTTCCGTAAGTCTGCCAACCGCAACATTCTAAAAATAGCTGCGATTCTATTTGAGTCACAACCTATGCGGAAAGGCATCATGTGATCAGCATGAGATTTAGTTGCAGAGAAGCCGAAATAGAATAGCATCGAAGTGTTTAGGTGCCCTGCAGAAGGTTTCTCATACTGACCATATGAGGTTTTACCCTGGCCAACCCAAGGGGCTGAACACTAGCACAAACACATTAGGAGAAAACCAATAGTGAGGTCAGAAATAAATACATACTTTTGCACTTTATCTAAAATCTACTACATTACACTCTAACATAAACGGCTAAGTCCAAAAAATCCTACAAAATGTCATGAAGAAATTAACCTTTTGGAAGACAAAGAAGCTCAAATTGCCTCTCAGGAGGAAATCAAAAACTGGCACCGAGTCGAGGCAACTCAAGAAGAAGACACTTTTAGAGGTACCAGTCGCCTTTGAAGGCTGGTACTGAATATTCAATAAAGAAAACGACAGTAAAGGGTAGTAAGTTTTATATGGAGGAGCCGCGCTCTCGGTTGGAACGGCTATGGCGAAGAATTTAGTCCAGAAACATCGTAGAGATATAATATAGCTGATTGAAAGGGAGAATTTTGCAACCCTTCTCTTAGCCGAGCTACTCGAGAGAGTGAAGAAAGTACTCAAGTACTCAAGCGCATACACAGCCAATCAAAGACATAGACATGGGTATCAGACTCCGAAATCATTAGTAGTATACGCTCCGAAAAAGGTGTTTAAATCGAAGAGAAGTGTCCAGCTTCAGCATTCAACTTTAACGTACGTAAACGCTCTGAGACAACCACAACATCGAGGAAGGATATCTAGACCATACCGCGAACCCGTCCTAGGCTATGCCAGAGATGAGCAATCGACTTCTGCAAGAAAGTACCACATTCACCCCCATCAATAACAAAATACAGTGACTAAAATCACAGTAGCATAGGTATATAACCACCAGGGCCCGATAAATCAAGCTGACGCACAAGTCAACTACACGGGGACAATGTGACCATAAGTATATGAGATGACCGCGTAAGTTGTGAGGTCGACATCTCTGACTATAAAAGAACATATATATATATATATATATATATATATATATATATATATATATATATATATATATATATATATATATATATATATATATATATATATATATAATATATATATATATA